GATTAGTTAAAACAATAGAGTGCTAGCGTGTTACCTTTGATTCTATCTTTTAATCAAAAGTCTCTCCTTTCGGATCAGTCGTTACGGGGTTATTAGTAAAGTTCATATTTCTATGAAAATCTAAGAAAGATTCTTAAATTTTTTGTTTTTACTATTACTATAACTTCCCACGGTATTGTCATGATTAATTAAAAATTAATTTTAGATTCCACCGTTATGAGCTAGAACTTATAAAAAATCACTTTTTTACGGAGCAAAAGTCTACTCCCTACCACAGCTCATCCAGTACTATTGCAACAGTAGTTGGTTCGGTCTTACACCTGGCCATGGTAAGATCACTTGGTTTCGGGTCTTATATATAGTACTTTCCTCATAAATTGCAAAAGGCCAGTCTAACCTATGCCAATTAATCTATGATCGCTTTCACTAAGTATTGTTAAAATAATTTTATCTTATAAAAAATAGACTTTTAATTTTTACTTGCACTACCTATAAACTCGCTGACCCATGATGCAAAAGGTACGTCGTCATATTATTTTATTTTTTTCATACTCCGACTGCTTATAAGATTATTGATTCAGGATCTATTTCACCAGTTATCTACTTGCTTTTCAACGTTTCCCTCACGGTACTATCCACTATCGCTCAATGATTCATATTTAGCCTTAGAGGATGGTTCCCCTAATTCAGACAGATTATCTTCCATCTTACTTTTTTTATTTAAATTATGCTTCATCCTTTAATAGATGAATCCCCTGGTTGAAGCCAAGGAAGCATAATTATTTGTTCTAATCCCCTATTGCAGAAGCAACGGTTAAACAAATTATAATTTAATTATTACGGGACTATCACCCTCTTTGGTATATCTCACTTCCAGAAATTTAATTAATCCCAAAAAATGTCTATTCAACACCAGGGAAGAAATTTATTATTCATGATTAAATTATATATTATAGCCAGCTTTATGCCGGCAGGCTAATCTGTTTTCGCTCACCACTACTAGCAGAATCTCAGTTGATTTTTTTTCCTCTTATTACTTAGATGTTTCAGTTCATAAGGTTGTTTATTAATTTAAAAATTTTTGGTTTCCCATTGGATAATCCTAGATTTAGCTAAGCTTGAAATTATTAGCTAGGATATTTGGTATTTAAACCTCCTTTATAATCATTGGCTAGTCATCCTCAATTAATCTCTTTATTATCTTGAAAATTAATTTACATATCAATACTGTAATTTTATTATACCTTGTTTATTGACCTTTTCTTCTTTACAGTTAATAATTACTAAATATACCCCCCTACAATAAAGCTGAACCTTATGTTTTAGATTAATTATTTAAGGAATTAACCCACAAAATGAGATGACCCTACCAAAGAAAAAGTCTAATCCCGAAAAGGGACAAATTTCCCCCCCCCCACCTTAGGCTCTCTTTTTAAGAACAAATAAAATAAATTTTAGGATTTTAAGGCCTTTAAGCTGCAAAAAAAAAATGGTTTATGCTGTTATAGTTTTATTTATAGGATATTTATCATATAATAGATATTTAACATATAAAAGATATTTAACATATAAGATATATTTAAAATTTATTAAACTTATTATTATTATTTAAAATTTTAAAAATATCCGTTAAAATCTTCTTATCTCAAAAATAAAACAGAAGTTCAGCTTCATGATGAAGAAATATGTTAGAGATAGATGACTATAAGAAGAAAGAGGGGGGGGGAATTAAGAGAATTTAACATATTTATGTTACTATTAGGAATTATATTCTTAATACTAACGAAACCTTTAGCTTATTAACTTCTATCAACAATCTTAATTTACAGGATTGCTTTCCTAATCTTTTTACTTAATGGATTATTGTGTGATTTATCACTATTATTAGAAATATTAGAAGGGTAATTTCAACTAACACAAAATTCTCAAATAAATGGGATATTATTATCGTTTATCCCTTTTTTTCAAGAAAGTATTTTAACGGTACCTATTATAGTTTATTCTAATACAGAAACTGGTAAATCTGCCATTTTAACTGAGACAAAAGGGGGAGCTGGATTTACCAGTGGACACATAATGAATCAGGTAAAAATATATTGGGTCTGCCGTTGATTTATCTAAACGATTAAAATATTATTACAATAAAGAGATTCTTAGTCGTTTTAAGAACAGGAGGATATAGAATGCTTTACTTCATTATAACAATTCTGCAATTAGTTTATCAATTATAGAGTTTATAGATATTACAAATTTATCGAAGTACAATAATCGTAAATTAACCCTATAGCGTGAGCAGTATTATTTAGATTATCTTTCACCTGAATATGATATACTTAAATTAGCTGGTTTCCTTTTGGGGTACGTTCATACAGAAGAAAGTAGGGCTAAATTGAGTTTAGCTAATAAAGGAATACCTAAAACAGATAAGTAATAAATAAAAACTAGTATAGCTAAAACAGGCAAAAATTATCCAATGTTTGGTCAAATTTATAATTAGGGGGGGGGCTAATTTAAAAAGAAGTTTAGTGAAAGCAGGGTATAATCATCCTATGAATAATAAAAATCATACTCCAGGAACATTGACAAAAATTAGTTTAGCAAAAAGTAAAAAACCCGGGACCGCATTTAAAAGTAGTAGTAGAAAATTCATTTTTTTAAATTTTAACGGGCCCGGGGGCCCTGGCGGTATTTGGGTATTCTAAGGATTTTATTCAAATGAGATAATACTATTTTAATCTTTTGGGGATCTCATAGACGCAGAAAATATTTTGATTGCAAAAAACGTATATTATCTAATTATGAAGATAAATTCAAGTTATACAAAAATAAATGGCTTTTACCCTTTAATTACATAGATAACAATAAATTTTTATTTTTTAATAAATGCATTCACATCCCATGCATTCGAAGGTCAATTACCTGTCCAATCAGTTAATACTTCCCCCCCCTACCGCTGTTATAGCTTAATGATAAAGATTTTAGGTTATTAGAACTTGTTTTTATAGTATCTTTACTACTTTAAAATAAATAAATGTAAAATACAAAAGATCGTCAGGAATAAAAATTAATAATTATAAAAGTCAGAATATTATGGTTCAATTTTATGATTTTTAATCATTTAAATGTTTGTTCAATTCAAACTCTGGTTATATTTATATATCATTAATTATATTAATATATCATTAATTATATAATTCTATTTTATTAGTATTTTTTAAATGTTTGTTCAACTCAAACTGTGGGTATATTATATTAATATATATATCATTAATTATATTATTCTATTTTATTAGGATCTTTTAAATAAAGGTAATTTAATCTTAATAGTTCAAGTCTAGTTTACTTTTTAATTTGCTAATTACAATTTGTAAATTTTTTATAATTCAAGCCCTAGTCTAATTTTAGATAATACCATGAGGTATGGCTAATTTTTCTTCTTTTTTAGTTATAAAATATAATTAGACTTTAGATATTTTAACCCTCCCCAGTGTTACCTTCGTAATTTAAAGACTCCTTTAAAATTTTAATGCAAATATTTAATAAATAAAAGATTTTTTATACATAAAAATTATGGTACAATCACTTTTTTCTACAAATGCTAAAGATATAGGTACACTATATTTTATTTTTGCAATTTTTCTAGCGATCACTATTCTTCAGAACCCTGCTTCTGAATTTTTATTATGTTTTTCCCCAGGCATTCTTTACTATAAAGAGCTTAATTGTTCTGAATCATCTTTAATTATTAAAGCTAATGAGTCTAAACAATTGAACCCTTTCTTTGTAACAGGTTTCGTCGATGCTGAGGGTTGTTTTTCGATTATCTTTCAAAAAAGAGAAAATTTTAATCTTGGTTGGCAAGTACGAGCAGAATTTTTAATACATTTACACAATAAAGATACAAAATTATTAAAAGAGTTTCAAGGTTTTTTTAATGGAGTAGGCTCTATCGTCTCTCGTAAAGATTCTGTTGTTTACCATGTAACAAAATTAGATGATTTAGTAAATGTAATTATACCACATTTTAATAAGTATAATTTGCAGTCTGCCAAGTCGATAGATTTTCTTCTCTGGGAACAGTGTATTTATTTAATGGTAGTTAAAGAGCATTTAACACTAGAAGGATTAGAGAAATTAATCTCTATAAAAGGAGCAATTAATAATGGACTCCCGGATAAACTAAAAAAAGCCTTTCCTAATGTAGTCCCTATGGTTCGACCAAACTATTTACCTAGCGAAAAGCCATTAGATCCTCAATGGGTCTCAGGGTTTACCGAAGGAGATGGTTCTTTTTATGTTTCGATAAAAAATTCTGGTCAGATATCGGTTGTGTACTCTATAGGTCTTAATATTAGAGAAAAACTCTTATTAGAAAAAATTCAACTATTTTTTGGAATAGGGAGAATTTCTAATAAATCTAGTCTTAATGCTATCTACTATGAGGTTTCAACTATTGCACATCTTAACTCAATTATCGTTAACCATTTTAATACTTTTTCTTTAGTTGGTGCTAAATTCCCTAATTACTTAATTTTTAGAGAAATTGTATATTTAATGGCTTCAAAATCCCATTTAACTCCAGAAGGAAGGATTAAAATAATGTTTTTAAAAGAGAAATTAAATAAATAATTTTATTTACTCTTTTCATATTAAATTTAGTAGGGGATAATTTACTAAAAATTTTAATTTATTATAGCCTAATAAGCTTGAACACCCCCCCCCCTCCCTTTTCTATTAGATTTACATAAAACTTGAAAATGGGATTTGAATTTCTTTATTCTCGAATCTGTTAATTTTGGATCAGTTTAATCTTAAACACATATAATAACTGCTGTTATAGCTTAATGATTAAAGCAAGTTACTGTTAATAATTGGATAGAGGTTTGATTCCTCTTAACGGCTTCCCCGAGTATATAAGGTGTGTAGGGGTAGTATAATGATATTATGATTAGGGGTACACCCTTATAGAGAGAAGTATAAAGTTTTGTTTCTTATAATAAAGAACTATAATTTAATTGGTAAAATGCCTCCTTGATACGGGGGTTAGTGGCGGTTCGATTCCACCTAGTTCTAAGGCAGATGGTACAACTAGTCCCAACTAGTTGAAGCCTTCTTATTTCGTGAAGGGATAATTGTATATCTTTTAGTTTTTATCTAATTTATAAAATATAATGAATTAGGTAATTGATCTTTTATTCTTAATTTCCCAAGTAAGGGTTTTGCAGGTAAATTTATAAGCTTACCATTTAATAGAACTTTAGTTTTATCATTATTCATTTCAAACTTATTTTTTTCAATATATTCAATAATAAAATTATTAAATTCATTTAAAAACTCTGAATTAGAATAAATATACATAAAAGCATTTTTTACTAAATATAGAATTTTAGAAGCATCATTAGCACTCGTACCAAAACAATCGTGAATTGTGATTATATTAATTTTTTGATTTTCCCCTAAATTACTTTCATTTTTTCTTAAATTACTTTCACTTAATTCTAAATTTATTATTTCTTTAATTAATAAAGCGATATTAGCACTATCCATTGAATGAATAAAATTCGGGACAAACGCATTAATTTGTTTAACTTTATTAATTTTTTCTTTTTTAGTTATTTTATCAACCATTATTTCTCGTAGGGTAATAGATTTTCGTCTACCAAAAATTTTAGTTATAAATTTTTTATCTTCATAAGTGGGATATTTTTGTTTAATAATTAATCCTGATGGTGTCATCCATATAACAGGTAGATTAAGTTTATTTAATAATTTAACAATTTCATTAAAATAATTTACTAATTCATTTAGCATAGGGTGCTCATTAAATAATGTGTCATATATTATACCACTAAGTGTAAAGATTTCTTTATAGGTTAACATAATATCACCAATCTCTTTATTACTTTGATATAAATATTTATCATCTTTTTTAATATTTGATAAAGTAAAATGATCATTTATTAATTGTTTAGTTATTCCTTTAATTGTAACGCCATAAGGTATTGTCATGATTGGTCTTTTAACTAAAATTCTTTTTATTTCTAATTCACTTAAAATAGCGTATTTTGGTTCTTTTTCAATTAAGTTATTTATATTTTTTTTAATAGGTTCTATCATTAAACTATAACAATCTTCAGGATCAAATGAAGATGAACTCTCAAGAAGATTAACTTTTTTTGCTAAATTAATATCTTTACTCATTGCAGCTAGATGCTGTAACCCATTACATGTCGCGTCCAATAAAACTGGTAATCTAGAGATAAATTTATCAGGATTAGCTAAATAATCCTTATATTCAAGACTAGCAGCTAAAAAACTATAAGGCTCATCAGCAGTTTTCCAGAATCCTGATTCAATATTAAGAATTTCGTTTATATTTTTATCTACCCATTCTAATCTTTTTTCATGAGATATTTTATCTTTCCCATAAAGATTAGCAAGATATATTTTTAATGATCGTATACCTTCTTCATTTAAAATACATCCATTATTAAATAATAGTAAAGATTTAGCAAAATCCCCTGCTTGAAAATTTAAAGCACCACTTTGTGAATAAACTCTACCTCGCCAATCTAAGAAAAAAGTAAAATAAAAAATTTGATTTATATATAATTTAGCTATATTAATTATGTTATTATAATAATAAAATTTACTATTATGATCAGTAATTTCATTAATTTTTTCTAAAATTTCTTTAGAATTTCTATTATCATGTAATTGTTTTAATTTATATGTTTCATTATGTAAAGATAATAAATATGGTTGTAAATCATTATCTTTTAATAATATTTCTAAAACCTTCTTATTAATTGAGAAAGGAATTGATGACATATAATTTATAGAATCGACTATATTCATATTTATCTCAGTATCACTTAAAAGATTCTCAGGTGATTTTCTTATTAATTCATTAAATACATTTTTATTATTTAAAAGATACCCTCCATACTTAGTAATTTTATTATTTTCAATTTCCCATTTTTCAGGAGGTGTAATTAAAGGTAATTCTTCAATATCACTAATCATTATGTTATTTAAAATTGTTAATAATTCTTCCGTAGGTAAATAATATTTAATTGACTCAAAGCTATTACTTTCTAAGTTTAATCTAGTAATTAAATTTGTTGTAAATAATGAAGTATTTTTTTCCAAGATAGAAATTAAGGTAAAACCTATAGTAATAATATTTTTATCACTAATTATATTTTTTTCTTTTAATTTAAATTCATAAAATGATAATTCAGAATTTTTATTACTTACATCTTTTTGATATTCATCAATTAAATATTCATTAAATATACTTTTACCTATACTTTCAAATAAAGGATGATGTTTTTGTTCTTCACTATCTTTATGTTTTATTAAAAAAGGTATTATTTTTGAATACATTATTGAGATTATTAATGAAGTACTTAAATTTTTAATTACTTTCATATATCCTTTATGTTTTAATGAGTTTTTATCTTCTAAAAATATATTTATATCTTTATTTAAAGAATTATATTCTCTAATAAATAAATTTAATCCATATTTGTTCTTACTTAAATCAGAATTTTTTATTAATTTTTCAAATTCTTCTTTCCAAAAGTATCTTAAAGCTTTTTCAATTTTAATCTGTTTATCTCTATTGGATAATTCAGAATCTAATATACTTTTAATATAAATAAACATAGAGGATTTTTCTATGAAATCCAAATAGATTATTGTTTAAAGATTTAGATGAATATTTTCTAGTTTGATTACCATTTTTAAAAGAAGACCCCGCCACCGCACACCCCGAGGCGCCCGCGGTATTTTTTAGATTAGAATTCGATTTATTATCCCCTTTTGATACAGGAAGAGATGTTCTTATAATATCTAATTTAACCCATTTTTTAAATTCTATAAATTCATCAAGGGATAAATTATCATTAGTATTTTCTATAATTCTACCAATATCTTTAATACATTGTCCAACAAAATTTATATATTTATTTTTTTGGGTTTTATAAACATCTAATTCTATTGAATAAATATCCCCATAACCATGAAATTTATATGCTTTATAAAACATATTTTGAGCCATAACCATTGAGAATAAATTAGAATTATTTGATTCTTTATTAAAAATATCATTAGGGGAAATACTAGGCCCTAATATAAATTCTAATTTTCTTTTTTCGTCATTACTATGCATGAATAGATTAAAAACAAATTTGTATCTATATTCATTGTTATTACTTAATTCATTAAAAACATCTAATAAAATTTCATCAAATTTTCCTGCACCATCTATATCGCCTTCATATACAGTATCAATAGGAGGGATAAAACATGAATATTTATCATCAACAAATTCAATTGAAGAATTATTAGAATTATTAGAAGGAGTATAAAATCTTTTAAACACACAATTTCTTAAAACAGAAGCAGCACCCCAAAAAGAATTAGTAAATTTAGAGGCATTTACAGGGCCATAGTTAAGGAATAAGTTTGTCATTGTTTTTTTTTTTAAATGTATAAAGGGTATAATATAGTCAGAGATATGGTATACAAAGATCGATATTTTCAAAAGATAGTGGGTTCTCATTAACCCCTTGGTTTCCATCCAAGATGTCTTTGGTTTATAATTAAATAAACACGTTTGAAGGACCTATCATCTTTTTAGAGACCTCCGAGCCCTAATGTGGATTAATCAATTGTACAAAAGATAGATAAGCACTATCTTTATCCTCACAGCAGAAGAACCGAAATGAGGACCCATAAATCATCGTGATGTATAGTAGCATATAAAAATTATTAATAAGGTTAATATTGGTAATAACCTAATATAAATTATAAATAATAATTAGTTTTCATCAAAATCATCGCTATAAATGAAAGACTAAGAGAAAATAAATAAGGAATAAGCAAGGAACCCTAACACTATAGGAGTAGGATAAAGAGAGTCCAGAGAGCGAAGTCCTTAAGTAAGAGTTCAGAGAGGTGAGTCTCAAGGCTCAAAATATCTTCTCTATAAGGGTGTACCCCTAATCATAATATGGTAATACCTCCCCTACACACCTTATATACTCGGGGGAGCCATTAAGAGGTTGGGGTGGTTAGATGGCAAGCAAGTTATAGCTTAATGATAAAGCAAGTTACTCCCTACGGGGACCCCCCTTTGGGGCGTCCCTACAGGGACCCCCCTTCGGGGGTGTTAATAATTGGATAGAGGTTTGATTCCGAGAGCCCGCGTGCCCGCGGGGCTTAACGGCTCTTTTTTTCCCCCAAGGGGGGTATAAGGGGAGAGTTGATAATATAGAGTAGAACTCCCTAACTGAAAGATTTTTTGTCAGTATAAGAGGGAAAATGGGATTTCTATATCTGCCTTCTAGTGTAATCTTTCCTTTATTTATAGTTATATTGTGGCTAATCTAGAGGCTTTGCCGACCTCGTGTATATTATGTTATGAATCCTGTTATCTTGAGCGATATAGACCCCGTAGGGCCTGCTATTAACCAGTACATCTTAGCCGCTTGGTGACGGACGAACGCAGTAAAATCTTAAGCGGTTATGTGAAGCAGGTGAGACCGCTCACAAAGTCGAATCGCGGGGTGCTTTAAAGTGTGGGTGTTTTTTTTGCATCGTTATCCTGTAGCTTTACACTTCTTGTGGGATAAACTTATCTGTAATTATATTTATTCTATTATTATTTCTTGCTTGTTTAATCCTATATTATGAATATCTTTGGTGTGAGGGTTTGGGGGGGGGAAGCCTTGCTTTTAGGACCCGCTTATACACCTTACCCAGAATATTTACTTCATGAAGAGTCCTATTCTTTATCATTCTATTAAAGGAAAGAGATGTAATTAATTTTTTACCTTTCCTCTTTTACAGACATAAAATCTTTTAGTTGGGGGGTGTAATTCCAATATAATCTGATATATCCTTGTCATCATTCCCCCCCCCCACCCTCGATCTCTAAAGAATTTTTGCCACGCCAGTGAGCATTTACCCAAAACTCATACCCATCCCTGGCTGCAAACACAAAGGAAGAGAACTTATATGCTTTCTCCTGTGGGGGGGGGGCACCTAAGCCTTACCCCCCCCTC